GTACACCTTTAATAGCAATAGCTCTTCCATCAGACATTTTCTATGACTGATCAATTCTGCATATCAGCTTGCAGGTATTTTGGCCCATTTCAACTATTTGAACATTAATATGTCACTGATTAACAGCTCTGTTTCCTGTTTTAAACTGATGTGTCTCCCCATGTAAACCGACAGTAAAACTCAATCCTCAGATATTTGTGGATCTAATTTTTTTTTTTTGCAGTTTTGTAGTAGTACAAGTCATTTTCATCTATTAATACTAATATTGTTATTATATTAAGACTAATATTCAGGAGCGTTTCTTTAAAAAGCTATAGCTGTATGCACCATATTGTGGAATAACAATAAAGCAGAATAAAATATTCCTGATCAAACTAAACCACTTGTTTTCAGAACAAGCACATTAAATTTCTGAGTTGCCGTTTTATGGTTCCAATATTTGCTTATTTGTATTTATTTCTTTATGACAGAACGGATTGAAAGACTACAAAAAGAACATGGCGTTTTGCAGTCAGAAAATATAGAGGTTCAAAATGAAATTCAAAAGCTTCAGCAAAAGCTTCAAGTCATGACAGAACTGTACCAAGAAAATGAAATGAATCTTCACAGGTATTACGGGAGTGGATTTATTTGTTAATAAATCACTCATTAATTTGTTACGGAATGTTATTTCTCTGCAATTGAATGTTTTTAATTTTTAACCAAATACTTATTTTGAGACCAGTATGATCAATCAGTGTCATACAAAGAATTGAATTTTGCTTTTGAATTCTTTTAAAAGGCCTACTGAATGTTATTTCACTGTGTAGCCTGAATATATATAAAGAGTTTAGATACAGAAATTGGATACTTTTTATGTCTGATTCTGCCAACCTCTTAAAGAACATAGAGACACCAAATAGTGAAGGTTTCAGAGTCACTCCCTATCATCATTTTGTTTATACAGATAAACACACCACATGCAACAAGATTCTGCATTAAAACTTTTCAGAGTAAAATCATGCCTCATTCAAAGACTCTGTCCAAGTTCTTTTACTGCTCAATTCTATATTTTTATTTGGAAATTCCACATTTCTATAGAGTAAATTCTATAATAAGTGCAAGTTATTTGCAGTTTTTATAATAGTCATCTAGAATTAGAATTGCACAACACAACAGAATTACCTTGCAGGTTTTTGAAAATAATTTTTGTGAAAGTGGTTTTCATATGAAAGGTAAAAAAAAATAGTTAAGACTAATGTAATATTTACTTTTTAAAAGGAAATTAACTGTAGAAGAAAAAGAACGTTTACAGAAAGAAGAAAAACTTTCCAAAGTCGATGAGAAAATTAATCATGCTGCTGAAGAACTGAGTACTTATCGGTAATTTCACTAAGTATTATATTAAACAATTCCAAATTTTTGAAAAATAAAAAGAGATTAATTGGAAGAGTACCAATCTAGCATTGTACTTGAGATATTTCTAGTAGTGTTTTATGTCAGAGGAAAGAAGCATTGGCCCACAGATCTATGAAACAACATTAAACACCTATGTTTGCTTTCAAAGATAACCTTGCAAATGGAAAGGGAGGCTTACTCATGCAAGGAGAATTCCCATCTGCATGTTGTGTATGTTGTCTGCAGGTTATGCATATTATAGTTATTTATGGTACATTCCCCAGTAGTCTGGAGGACTATATAATCCTAAAGCACAGCTGGGAAAGATGCAAGAGACTGCAATCAGAAGAGAGCCAGAAAAACCCTGTTGTGTAATAGGAGTTCAACCTTTGTTCGATTTAATTCAGAACCTCTCTAGAAGAGGACAAAGGATTTAGATAGCTGATGATTACTAAGAATCACTTAGACAAATTATTTATTATCCCTTTTTAAAATCACAAATACTAGCATGCCTATTTATTTTCAGCAGATGAGATAATTCTGCTAAAATTCATTTTTTCCACTTGATCATAAATAGGAGCGCGTCACTCAAAGTAACTTCAGTTAAAAATAATTCCATTCACAGCGTGTCCTGTCACTTTTAGGCACAACTGAGTTTTACAAGCAAAGAAATTGTAACAGGGAGGTTCTGATGCATTTGTTAGATGGCGAATCTGATTGATTTCCTTTTTCAATTGTCTTGCCAACTTCATCTGGTTTTTTAAAAATAAAATTAATTTACTTAGGTCTAAATTATTTAGTAAAGTTTTGCAATACTAATAACAGTTTCTCCTTGTAATAATATTTTATAGGCATCGGGTAAAAGATCTTGAAGAAGAACTAGAAAGAACTGTTTGTTCTTATGAGAAACAAGTATGTATTTTCTTAATTTTTAGAAAATTAGAAAATTTTTCTTTTTACCTCATATAACATAGCTTCAGTTCATTGGCCTCTTTGAGGGGAAAAAAGTAGTTTGAAATTACTTTTCAGTGCTGTTCTGAATTATTTCAATTGGAATTTTCTTTTATTCATATCCTTCCTTTTATTCAGGAGCTTATATCCATTTAATCATATTTAAAACTTCACTATATATCTTTTTGTTTAACTAAAGCTATTATGTAACTACAACAGAGAAACTAAAGCTGAATCTCAAATGTACATGAAAGCAAATTGATATGACTTTTATTGAATCCTTTCAGTAAAATTTGTTGCCTAGTAAATATACATAGAAATGTGACTTTAATTGTTTTTGGTTTAGCAGCAGAGCTTTGTTGAAGCAATATCTTATTGTATCTTTACCGCTTATATTCTATACTATGAAGTACATAAAAATATTGTGTTCCATATTTTATTTCTGTTAAAAAGAGCATATAAAATGTCGCTCAGTTTGATTTTACTTCTAAATTAATGTATAGTTTTGTTTTAACAGATTAACTCACATGAGAAAAAAGCTCATGATAATTGGGTAAGTTAAAGCACTGTTTTACTGTCCATTTGAAAAAAAAATACAGCATTAGTATAGGGTGTTTTCGTCTGTTAGATCTTTTTCTCAAAGACATATGATTGCTCTTTGGGGTTATAGATGTTTCAAAATGGCCCTGTTTCTTTACATTTTATGTTAAAACTTATTTTATTTATCAGATTTATAAACTGCCAATTTACCTCACCAAGGTAGATGTTTTTTTAAAAAAAAATATTACTATTTGGCTGTAATTAACAATGAAGATGCAACAAACTATTTGATTCACACCTAATGCTAAAAGTATTTAGGCATTTAGAATGCATTGGTACCTATAAAGCTTTAGAATGTGGACTTTTCTGGATTTTCTGGCTTATAATTTCAAAAATTATAGGACATTTATTTATTCTGATATTTGCTATATATTTGAAGTTGACAGCCCGGGCAGCTGAAAGACAACTGAATGACTTGAGAAAAGAAAATTTACATAGAAGACAAGAGTAAGTATAAAGGGGTTCATGTTTAGAGGTTTTGGCATTAGTTCTAAACATAAGTTATTATTGGATTACTGTTTACTCCCTAGCGTTATCCTTTTTATAACAGTAATTTTATTAAACATTACAATTAAAGGATAACAATTGAAACAAATATAAAAGGAAAGAATAGAAAGTGCAGAAAGAAAAAAATAGAAAAATAGAAAAGAAAGAAAAAATAACAGTACAGTAAAGAAAAAAATAATATTTAAAGAAATGACTTCTTTCTTCATCACAAGTATAAATGATTTTCATAATTTATCAACTCTTAAAACATCAAATGATCTTTTCCTTCATATCTCAACTCTTATATATAAATAAATCCTGAAAGTCTTTTGTTCAGTCCTGATCAACAAAAGGAAGACCTCCTAAAGAGTCACTATATGGTTAGATCCATATATGAATGTGTTTTTGAGCAAAGGGGTGATTCTGTGATAGTCCATCACATTCTAAAGAAATCATGTCTGGATCTAATAGTTCTAGATAATCTTCACCCAGTCTTCAACCTTCAATTTTTAGAGAGATACTGTAGTGAGGTGATGCATCTTTCCTGGCCCTGGATGATCTCTTAGTGGCTTGATTTTATCAATCATGGTATCTTCCTAGACAGTTTCAGATTTGATAAAAAGGCCATGATGTTACACTTGACATTGGTAGGGGAGAACTATAGGCCTAGTCCCTGCTTTGTAGTGGTACTCAGAGTTTTTCCTCTCTCTACCACTATTTGACACTTACATAAAGCCACTGAATGAGGTCATCAATTGGAACAGAGTTAAGTATCATCAATATGCTGATAATGTAAAGCTTTGTATCTGTACTTGAATCTAACCAAGTTAAATTGTCAAGGTTTGTTCCTCATGCCTGGAGGATGAAGTGGTGTGAATGGGAAAGCACAGGTTTTGGTTAAACCCAAACAACTCAGAATGATTGTGACATTTAGGGCTCTCTCCCTTTCTGAAAACTGACCATCTTTAGTTCTGTATGGAGTTGCACTCCTCGAGAAAGAACTGCTGTGCATTTTGGAGGTTGCCTTGAATTAATAGGAGTAGATGCAGTGGGCCTTTGCAAAAATTCATATTGTATGTTAGTTGTACTTGATTCTTGATCAGGACGTCCTGCTCACAGTCCACTAATGCTTGGATCACATCACACTTCAATTATTGCAATTTGGTCTACATCAGGCTGCTCTTGTAGACCATCCAGAAAGTAGAATTAATCAGTAATGTAATCTTGTGTAACCAGGACTATGATCACATAACAACACTACTACATGAGCTAAATTGGTTTCCTGTAGGCTTCTGGGTACATTTCATGGGCATCCTTAAGATCACTTCATAGAACAGTGTTATTTATGGCACTTGCTCTGTCATGATTTCCTACCTTTCAGAACAGCATTTTCTATGATATTTGGATGGCTCTGGTCTTCTTTAAGTCTTTAAAAATGTATTTTCCCTTTTCTTCCCCCGTCCTCCAAAAAATATTGGGTTAGTACAATGAATGAGCCTGCTGGAAAACGGATTTGAGATTTTGAATATGTTGAGTGCTTCTGTTTGTGCTGTTTTATAGTATGTTCTATGTTTATTTTGTTTAGTTTTTAGTCCTAAATTAACCACTCAAAATCATTTTGCAAGTTGGGAAGCCATCCAAATCTTATGTATGTATAAATCGTTGAATCAGCCAATGACTGTGATCTTTCTGATGAACTGAGTTTTCCTTTGGAGTAGAAAAACTAAATGGTCGAAGCAATCATATGGAAGATAATAGATTTTTGTTCTTTTCTTTAGTTTGACAGAAATAGAATTTAAACACCACCTTCTGACAAAAGATCCTTATGCTTATGATGATACAGCCACAGCATTTAGCAGAGGTATGACATTTTATTTAATTTCCAGTGTACTTTATAAAGAACTAAATTTCTTAATTTTTGAATAAATGTACCAAACTACAAATTCAAGTGTAATTAGCATTTGAATTTCATTGAATTACAATACCTAATTCCCCCCCCCCCCCGGTGATTCTTCAATAAAACCTGCATAATTCTTTAAATGATTAGCAAAAACTGAGCTGTGTAATTGAAGGGCAAATGAGAAAAGTCAATCAGTTGACTTTATTATGTTCCAATTTAAACTTCAAATCTGAACTGATAAATAATTGTTGTTCTTTACATCCATTAACATTAACTTTGTGAATTTTAGTATTTTGTTTTAACTGTTCCAGAGCAGTCCCCATATGGACCCTCACCAATGGGCAGACCTTCGTCTGAAACAAGAGCTTTTCTTTCCCCCCCAACCTTATTGGAGGGTCCCTTAAGACTTTCACCTGTGCTTCCAGGTGGAGGAGGAAGAGGTACACTTCTTAAATTTGAAAACTTAATGATTCTGGATTCTCTCTCCTCTTAGTCTATCCCTCCTTTCTTGGTAATAGTTCTGTAAAATCAACTTTAAAAAATCCTTTTCAACTAAATTTGTATTATCTTATATAAATGGTCTCTAGCATGGAGCTGAGAACAGTAATTCCATATATCCAACTTTATGTATTACATATTTTTATGGAAAACCTGCAGACAGAAGGCTCCTGTTCATTAAAGCACTTTTTTTAACACTCTGAAACTTTTTGTAGATCTTTGATCTACCATTACCTATGAATCCATTTGCATAAAGATTAGTTTTGAAATTAATTTACTTTTAAAAAGTCCTAAACCAATACTGCTTATTCATTAGATTAATAAAAACTGGACCAAATGGTAGTTTTTAAAACTAAAATAAGTGAGGTGAAAGGAAAAGCAGGTCATATTATCCTTATGTTACAATAAAAATACCGTGTGGGTTTTTCCATCTTAGATGGTTGATTGTCGCCTAAAGTTGACTTTAAAACTATTATACTTTATTCCAAAACTGCTGGCATAAGACAGTCTGGAATAGACAAGTATAATGAAGTAGATAAGAGGTCAACATTATGCCATGGTTTGAGAATCAGAATAAGATACTCAAACTGTTTACCTGCTTTTGGACTACAATTAATTAAAAATGAAAAGGTTGAATAAGGTTGAATATAATTTCAGTTTCTTTTTCCTACCTGTTCAAAGTACTTATTTCTCATTTATTCTTCTAAAATAAGAAAAACTTCTTTTAACCTCTTTAAAAGATGTGATGGGTTTCTTGGAGGAGGTTGGGTTTGGGATGGAATTGGTCTCTGAGAGCAATGTTCACTTGAAAATACATAGTGATTAGGTTGATGAAAAGACTTCCTTCCTTTCTTTGCTTTGTAAGATGAATCTTAATATAATGTGAATCTTGTTTCAGGATGATGGTGGTGGTTTTTTAAGCAGCAGCATGACATGACTAAACAATTGCATGCCTATGGCAAAGAGAATACTAAGGAAATTTGCAACTTTTGCAGACAGGACACAACACAATAATATTTTTATTTTAAATTGGAGATTTGGAAGAAGCGTAAGCACAGGCATCACATCCCTTTATCTTAATTGCACTCTCCTACTGCATGTTGATACAAGTTCTTATACAGTTCCTGTTCATACTTAAGTTTAAGGTCAATAGAACAATACAGACATAGGCAATTATAGAAGCAGTGGCAGAGAAAAAAACCCCAGTGAACTTTAATGATCAAAAGTTTGAGTGTTTAACAGCTATTAAGAACTGTGCCAGATTCAAAGATTCACAGTATTTTTAGAGTTCTAGGCAGTTAACAAAAGTCTTAAGGAATATAAACAGACAGACTTTCAACAATGCATGCTTGTGGTCAGATAAAAGTTTTTATCTGTGAGGCAGCTTGGTGGTGTGGTTAAGGCATCATTTCCGCTAGACATTTCTGCTAGAAACTATGTTCTAGTCCCAATTTAGACACAAAGCTCTCTGGGTGACCTTTTTTTCTCTAGCCCTATGGAGGCAAAAGCAAACCACTTCTGAAAAACCTTGCCAAGAAAACTGAAGTGACTTATTTAGGCAATCTCAAAGAACTGGTCGCTATTGATGAAAGAAAAAAAAGGCAGTCTTACTTGAGCTCTGTTGAAAGTCTGAAACTTTTCTGTGGTGAGGGAAAGATCCTGAGGATGCATTACAGTAACAGAGGGAAAGGGAAGAGGAAAAAGTAAAGGAAAAGAAGGAAGAAAATATAAAGTAAAAAGTAAAGTAAAATGATTTGTCCTTTTCTAAAATCCAAGATAACCCTCAGTAAAACGGACAAATTAGAAAAGTCTTCACTTCTTAAAGCTGCAGTGACATTGCCTAACAGAAAAGATGCAGGAAGATAACATTTCCGTAATAATATTGAAACCAAATAATACTAAAAGAAGAGGTTTGTTAGAACCATTTACAGACTGCCTTACAGTTAAAGTACACAATATATGAAATGTACATCGCTGTGTTTTTTTTAACATTTTCTCTGGCTAGTGTACACTGGCCCAATCCTGATCAGAATGTGTGTAGAAGTGGAAACACATACCTCTTTTTTTAAATTATATGAGCAGTTCTTTAAAGTTTAATGCCCATAACACATGTGAATTTTCTAATTTCAGAGATTTTACTGCTTTAGATTATTGGGCCAGTGGGTGTTTGCAGTGGATATAGAAAGTGTCCATCCCATTGGCATGCACATCAAAAGAAACACCTGAGAGTAAAACTTTACCGACAGACTTTACCGACAGATCCATATAGGCACAGAAGCAGCAAAGCCAGTTCTAAGATGTTGATGTGAAACCAAGCATAGTAAAATTTATTTTTCCTTACCTGAGACACCCAGTGTCCACTGTCCACCAATCCAGGTTAACCATTTTATTTTGGGAAAAGACTCTACCTTTCGAAAGTCTTCAGTGTTTGATTTTGGACTCGCCAGATTTTCTGAAGCTGCAAAGGGCTCAAGTAAATTCCTTTTCTCCCTCCCAGCTTCCCACATATTCCAATCATATCCATGCCCCCCTTCCTTACTTTTTTTGCAAAGTTGCCAGTGAAAGAAGCGCCTTGAGAGTTTACACAACCATTAAATTGCCAGGTTTTTGAGATGAAAAAAACATGTCAGACTCAGATAAATCAGTTCAGAATTTTTCCACCTTTAACATATAAATTGTACAATTCAATTGAAAATCAAACTGAATTTTTTAGAGAGAAAACAAAAACAAATAAAAGTGTACAATAATATGATTGCATACATGTGCACACCCTTAAACGAATACTTTGTTGAAGCACCTTTTGATTTTCAGTCTTTTGGGGTGAGAGCCTATCGACATTGGCACACCTTGCCTTTGGAATCTTTGCCCACTGTGCCTGTCAAATTGAGAAGGCATCTCCTATGCACAGCCCTCTTCAAGGCATCCCAAAGATTTTCAGTTGGATTCAGGTTTAAAAGGCAAGTGAGTAAATGTCAGAAAAATCCTACCAAAACAGCTGAACTTTATATGGGTTTGATCAGTAACTTTAATTGATGGCAGGCGTGTACTGACTACTATTTACCATCAGTTTGAATGTGATTGGTTAATTATAAATATAATCACATCTCTACTTACAGGACGGTATACTTAGGCAACCATGCTATTGTACTTTTTATTATTTCCCCCCTAAAAGATTTCTGTTTGTTTTTCAATTGAATTATAGAGCTTATATGTTGTATTAAAGGTTTAAAAAATTCTGAAGTGATTTATCTTGGTCTAATATTTTTATATCTTAAAAACCTGGCAATTTAACTAGATTTTCTATATCCACTGTATGTCTCAGAGAATCATTATTCAAGCTGCATGATACAAATTTTACATAAACACATTATGAGCCAGCTTAAATAACACAAACACGTTATGTTTTGTTATCCTATTTGTAACTTCAGTGAGATTTTACTTGTGTATATTGATCACATTTAACTTTTCACCTAAACTTGATAAATGAGTAATTTTTATGATAAATGTGGGACAATTTACTTGTTTTGAAATGGACATTGTTTTAGTATTTACAGGTTTAGTTAAGACTATTAGATATTGAGCTAATTGGATCCATGGTAATTTTTTTGATTAGGTTCAAGAAGACTGGGGAACCCTGGCATAATTGAAGTTGGTAATGAAAGAGGAGAGCTGAACACTAGTAGGTTATCTGATCCACACAGGCCACCTTCTGACACTGGATCTTTGTCACCTCCATGGGATAGAGATCACAGAGTAATCCTCCCTCACCCCGGTAAGAAAACAAGATTTGCCATTCTTTGCTAAATGCAGGAATGAAACTATATTGAAATATTACTGAGATCTACTTTGAAATGGATCTTTGATTTGGGTTCAGTGAAAGAATATGTATAAATCATTTGAAAGTGGCATACGCTAAACACTGATTTTTCCTCAGAATTAATATTTATTGATTTACATCCCACTTTATTAATTTTATAAATAACTCAAGGTGGAGAACATACCTAATGCATCCCTTTCATACAGAATTAGCTGATTTGAACATTTTAAAGGGTATATTTTTGGTTCATTTAATCCAAAACCTATATGACTAGAACCCTAGAACCATTACCAGATTACATATTTCTGAAAATATATAAACTACATTCATAGTACTGATATTCATCTAGTCCATTTTTTAAAAAAAAGGGATGTCCCAGGAATTCCTCAGACTAATATAGTTGAAACATTTTTCTAGAATATGTTAAATTAATTCTCCAGAAAAGATATGTTTCCAAGAGAAATCCAAAATTGAAATGGAGAGGAATTTCCTGACCTTGAGAGTTATTAAACAGCCTGCTTACTGGAGTCATTGGGGCTCCATTAAAAGACCATCTCAAACAATAGCTCAATAGCAATTTTTGTGAGATGGCATTAGCAAGTGGTATGGATTAAAGGACCTCCACTTTTCCTTTCAATCTTAAGATTTTATAATTCTATATTAAATAAGCAATAAGTATTGGATTTCCATTAACATTTTCTGGAAGCATGCGCCTCTTATCCATTATAGTTTAACTTGTAAGTAGTGTTGTATAAGGAATGTGAAATAAAATAAACGGTAGGTATTGTTCAGGAATTCTTCTGAAAAAGGTTTATTTTTTATTAAAAAATAGGTCACCTCTATAATGAGCAATCTCTTCCTCCTCGAAGACCAGAAAGATTTTATCCCAATCCTGTAAACTCTGGAAGGCTTTCAGGACCAGCTGAACTAAGAAGTTATAACATGCATTCAGTTGATAAAACAGGTTGGAATTGTAGTTTTTAAAAGTAATTCTTTAGAACCTAGACAAATGCACATTTTGAGACTTTAGTTCTTCTTAGTAAGATAATATATGTTAGTAAGACATCTAGGAATGTTAGTAATACTGTAGGTGTGGTGTGTGTTCTGTGCCCTCTAGTACAGCTCTGTTTCCGATTTCTCACATAGAAGGCAGCAGTGCTGGAAGTTAGGAAACAAGTGAATCTACTTTAGATGTGGAAAATAGCTGTGAGAATAGGAAATAATGTATGCAACAAATCTTTCTCCCATGCTGCCCCATAATAGCCTTTTCAGCAACCTTGACTGTTCCCTCAGGTTGAGTATGTTGCATGGAGATGCATAGGACTTTGCATGAAATCAGACAGAAGAACATGAATAGGATTGAAGTTGAGGGGAAGTTTACTTAGAAAGCAAATATGGAAAAACCAAATCTGTTTTAAAAACAAATAACAGTCCAATATACTCAATACACTCTATTTTACGCTAAATATATATTTAAGACATTTAATCCAACACTAGTAAACATTAGTTATTCAGACTTGAAAGCATATCTTAATAAATGATTTCATTTTCTGTAGCTAGCATATTTAATCAGCATTTTTGATTCTTGCACACTAGTCACACAAATGTGAAAAGGGAAAGTCTTAAATGTTCTGTTCAGGAATGTTAACATACATTTGTATCTACTGTATATGGGGTGGTTCATATTTTTGAATGCGGAGAAGCATTCATGTTTCTCATTTCGCAATTGTGTTTAAATGTGTGAAAACATTGCATTTGACATTGTATCTTGTCTCTATAGCCATCTGGAAGGAATATGTTTGAGTTGGCTTAAGGTTAAAATGTGTATTCCTTTCCTTCACATCCAGATGGACCATCATCTGAAAATAACTTGAGAATGGACCTGAGTGGAGATGAATTAAGAGATCATTCAAATGACAGTGTAAGTAAAACACAGAAAAACTGAGAAAAAAAATTAAAATTGAAAATTGCAGTGCTGGAACTAATTTTGTATAATTTGTATTTGCATCTATATTTATACAAATGCTTCCATATTCTGACACTGAATAAATGTTAGTTCAAGCAGTGCTTCTATAACTGAATGATTTTATAACTGAAAAAGCAAAAGGAAAGAAAGAACATGAAATAGATCTTTGGTGATGATCGAACTGCATTTCCTATAGAGAAAAGGGCTTAGATTTTATCCTCATTTGGTAGTTGTACTCTCAGAAGAGAAAAGGTTTTTTATATTTCTCCCTCTCTTTTGAATCAGGGAAAACTGTTCTTGATTGTGGGTACAGATGCAGGGATGTCTTAGGGGGCCTGGAGGAGAAGGTGGCTGAATGAAAATCCCACCCTCCACTTAACCCAGAAGCTTTCACTGTAATCTCTTGTTTGTGATTTACTCCATTGTATCCTATTTTAATTGATGTCTTTTCAGTTGCAGTTTTTGAATGCATTCTTTTTTAGTTTGTGCCTCTGGTTTGGATTCCATTTCTACTCTAGTCTGTTTTCAAAAAGCACATGTAAATGACAGATGCTTTTCAAAGTTAACTTGCTTACATTCCTTTATTTACAGAATATGTACCATATACACGATCAGTCTCTTCCTCCTGAAAACGAAACCTTAGGCCCAGGAATTGTGCCACCACCACTTCCCTTTTTGAGAGCTCCTCTAGTGTCAATGGATCCAAGGGGATCTTTCATAAGAAGAGGTCCTCCGTTTCCACCTGTACCTCCTAACTCTGTGTATGGTCCACAGGAATATTTCCCAAGGGATTTTGCTGGTTTGCCACGTCCTCTATTACCAAGTAAGTAACTAGTGTCTAAATACTAAATACATTTCTAGTAAAACATTCACAAACTTTCTTCCAAGAAGAAATAGTTGTATCTGGATCTGATGTATCTTTTTCTGTTAGACTTAATAGAATAACAATCCCTTTACTTTTGAAATTTAATCCCAGTTAAGTTGCCCAAGTACTTCTGATACATGACTTTTTTCCTAGTTTAAAACTTTTAAGAACATCATTATTAAAGATGCCTCCGTGTTGCACCCAGAGCCCTGTGCCAGGTCCCAATGCTCTGCCCCAAAGCTCTTTAAGGTGACCTCAAGCTATCCAAGAAATTCTGTCAAGGTTCCTTCTCCTCCTTGGAGGCTGTGGAGGCCTAGATGGGGAAGGCCTTGAAGGTCTTTTTTCTCAGGTGTTACGGTGCATTATGAGATATTTTTGCTAGAATTTCAGCTGTATTTATTGTATTGAATTATACAAATTTGCATTATTTTATGTCTTTGTATTATTACAAAATTACTTAGAAACATATTTTAAATCAGATAGAGGGATAGGTGGATGGATGGAATGGTGAATGGATGGATGGATATGAGAACAGGCAAGTCTAGCAAAATTAAATAAAATTCACCTGATAAAAGGATCAAGTTTCAGATTGATGCTTTCTTCATATTCCCTGATTTAAAGGGAATTAAGAGTTCATTATATTGAGATAATATATTTGGCAAAGGCAGCTTTGAGACAAACATTCACTGTTTTAATGAGATTTTTTAATGTCTGTTATCAGTTGTTTTGAGTTATGTGTCCAATATTAACTAGCCTTGCTCTAAATTCAAACTGAAAAAAAGATGTTGATAATTCTCTTTGAACAGTGAGAGCTCCCTTTCCTATGAGGCCTTTTTCACAATATCCACCTCCTCCAAGGGCTGGCTTTTTTCCTCCTCCTCCTCCACCACCACCATCTGACAACAGAAATGAGGTTTCTGCTGAGTTAACACAGCTGTCAACTGTATCATCTACAGATAATCAAGAATCACAACAAGAAACTGGTTGAATGTCATTTTGTTCTTGACAATTCTCTCGACTGAATTATTTCTTCTCAACTGAAGTAACTTGGTTACTTAATCAACTCTATTATTGCTCAAATTGAAGCTGAATAGAGTAATTCTCAGGAGAGTGATCTGTAAATATTGGTTTAACTGTGAATAAATTATAACTGTACAGCAGCAACTTTTAAATATTTTTATTTTGCTTATCTAGATGTAAAATTTAGTCCAATAATAAGAATTCTCTAGTTGTCTGACTACACCTGGTCTCATAAAAAATAATGCACGTGAAAATGAGTATTATGGTGAAATGCCGGTGTTAAAAAATAAAAACATTTTAATTATTTGTAATATTTTGATTATTTACTAAAAGTTAGTGTCTTTTTTTACTTTTCTGAAAGTATACTCCATGACAATCCTAAAGTTTTGCATAATTAGTCCTCAAGTTATGAGTGCTTGCTTAGTGACCATTCAAAGTTATGATTTATCTAGAAAAAAGGGAATTAAGAACCACTTCCAAAGTTCTGGCAGTTCCTGACCCCTTCTGGGAGGAGTAATTTGGGCACCTGACAACACAGCCACATTTATAGCCATTTGCAGTATCCCATGGTCATATGACTATGTTTTACGATGATGTGGCCAAAAACTGAAGGATTTTCAGCAAAACCAACACCATAGCAAACTTAAGTTTGCTTAACAACTGCTGCATTTGTTTAACAACTGTGACTGTCGCAAAAATGGCTGCTGCAAAAAAACAGTTGTTGCAATATACAACTGTAATGGGCAGGCTCTATTGCAGTTGTATTTTGAGAAATATCTACTTTCTACTGCTATAGTAAGTATATCATAATACGTTACACAAGAGCAGTCTTACCATCTTCTTAATGTAAACTAAAGGTTTATGGATAGGCATGTTACTTCAAGAATTTAGGAGATTTATTGCATCACTCAAGGAAGAATGCCTGGGTCTTTTTAATAATCTTGTGTTGCAGTATATAAAAATTCACAGTGTATTTCTATTTTTAATTTATACATTATAATTGTCGGCTCACTATTCTCCAGGAATTTTAAGGATAACGTATACATAGTTCTTTCTCCTTCATTTTTTAAAATCACAACAACCCTGCTAGATAGTTTGGATTAAGAATAATTACTTCAAAGTCTCCAAGTGAAGTTGGGAGAGCCAGGTCTTGATGCCCTTCCTGGAGGCCAGAAGAATGGGGGTGCACCTACCTCTGGGGGCAAGATATTCCTCAGGAGCAACAGCAGAGAAGGCTCTCCCTAGACCTTGCCAGTCGAATATCTTCAACTGACAGCATCTGGAACATACCCTCCCTTTTTTGTTAAGCAAATCCCCGCAGGCAGTTAAATGCAACAACATATTACCACAACTTGCAGCTTCCTGCTTATTTCCCCACTGACTTTGTCAGACGCTGGCAGTGAAGGTTGCAAATGTCTATCATGTAACTCGGGGATGCTGTGACCATTGAAAAATATGTGCAGGTTGCCAAGCACATACATTGTAATCAGGCCTATGTATGAAGCATTCTTGACTTAATCACTAGAAATGAACAGTCCAATAGAGCCAATAGGAAATGTATCATGCTGCTATAATAAAGTACCTAACAACAATGAATTTTGATGCTTTATTCGTTGATTAAAAGAATATACATTTAACATAAACCATACAACATCAGTCATCAAGTCAAACACTCAGCTGGTTTCCTTACAATTTCTGTCAGGAGTTACCTTACTCTGATCACATTTATAAGATAAAATCTCACCACATCTGGCATATACACACACTGTGCCAGTGGATTCACTCTACTGATGTACATATAAAATCCGCATGGTATGTGCTCACTGGAGACAAAACAGCGCACACCTGTCAAAGGTCATTTTAATATAAGATGGTAAAACCATTTGTAAAACACATATAAACTTTTCCATAAATAGAATCATATCTGGACATCTGTTGCATAAATTGTGTTTTCCAAAGCTTACAATATGGCAGCCAGGTCTCAGCACTGCTGGGCACCCACGTTGGCCACTTACTTTATTATTGCAGACTGTCCTTAACGTTAAATGCACAACATTCGTACCACTTAAAACTTGGGTCAGGTGGAAGTCTCACAGAGACCACGTCTGTACCGCGGTTGCCCTGAAACAGTTTAAATCGGCTTTTAAAGCCTCTCAGATATAACAAGATTTTAAAACATACTTCATGGAATGTTCTTCATGCATCATAGCAGCTCATACCTGTGATAGAACAAGGTTTGTATCGGTTTCTTTTCCTTCCTTTACATTCACTATTCACAGTGAAACAGGTGCATGTTTAAGAGTTCTGAGGTTGCTGACTGAGCCACAGCACAGCTGTGTACCACAGGTCGAAATTCGACCTTATATATTACAATCTAGCAGTACCTGGCTGGCCAAAAATTGGCCTGCCCCTGCCAGCATGTGGGCACTTCTTCATTTTAATCTATTCTTTGGCAGCTGACACAGGCGCTGACAGAGAGAATCCAGTGACTTAGTTGCTAGGGATTTCACGACTAATGTTTGCAAGCAAAGTAGACTTATAAATTTATATCTAAATTGTTAGGGTTTTACCCCATTGGAGTGTATAATCTTAACATTTCTTTTCAAACCTGGGCCCGAAGCTAACTTGGACAGAGAAGCTGACAGACTACGAGAAAAAGAAGCTATAATTAATTTACAGTGAAACTACAGCTTATAGCCTTCAGAGTCAGGTAAACCTCTGAATAAGCTACACAGTGTGCAAGAAACTACTGTTCATATTTAAGGAGGAGATTGCAGAATGGCAGTAATTCATGCTTCAGATATTGTATGTGAAATCAAAGCAAGGTTTACAGCAAATGGTATTGATCGTCTTGATAAAAAAAAAAAAAGCTTAAGTAGCATGCTACCAATTTACGTGACAATGACCGCATTCACCGGGCTATGAATAGTAAAAAGATTTTTGGCTTCTGAGCACAAAAAACTCCGACAATAATAAAATCAGTGAAGTTGCAGTGTTACTCAGTACAAAAAGAAAGTTAGCTGGCAATCTCACGATAACCTTCAGCCTCATCTGAGTTTTGTTTTGTTTTGTAGACAAGTCCATTAACCGTGAAAGCCCTAAACATTGCCACTTTCAGCTTCTAAACAATACCCGACTACGTTCTTTGATCAAGAAGTAGAATATACATATATAATTCTATATAGCTAATACTGATTAAACACAGCACAAGAGGGGTTAATTCACACTACTGAAAAACATAATAGGACCCTACTTGCATATGTAACCACAGGAACTGTAAATAAAGAGAACTAAATGCCTTCACTGAAGCTTTGCATTTCTCTGTAAAAATGACGAGTTGGCTCAGTAAACACACTGAGCAATTCTATGTCCATGACTGCATGCCAGGGTCGACCCAATCCAAGGGATACCTGCTCAATGAGATTATGCACTGGATCTACATCCTGATCAGCCAGTTCACCATTGTCAAAATCAATGCTTTCTTCTGTGACTTCAAGCACTTTCAAATCAGAGCCACGAAGACGAGCAATGGCAATCAGGTTGTGAGCCCAAACAGTATAACCTGAAACACAAAATCACACGCTATTATTTTACTGGATTTCACTTTTCTTTCTCCCTCCCTATTCTACAGATTTAACAGCTAACAACTAATGCCTTGCTATTAGCTTTCCATCTAATAATTTTCTCATTTAACAAACAGTCCTCTAAGTTGGTCATCAAATGATGGAATTCATTCAAAAGGTTAAAATGCTAAACAAATTGGCTTTTACTGTTTTGTTATCAGTCTTTATTAAAATAATATTTCTAGGTAATGTGTAAATTTCTCATAACATTTATATACACACACATGCGCGTACACACACACACACGCACTAAGCAAGCTGCTCTATTAGCATAGCACACAAGAATTTTAGATTAAGCTTGCAAGTTATCTTAAGACTTGCTGGAAGTTTAAAAACAAACATTAAAATATAACTAAAACAAAAAGAAGTAATTTTTAAGCTAGGGTTCCTTTCTTCCAATTTGATTGTGTTGCAATTGTCTCAGTCTTGAATTATAACAATTTTTGCACTTTAATTCCTAATTTATATGCATAAGATAGTATGCTAAAGCCAATGGGAAGCTTAATTCCTCTTTATGCTCTCTATACAAAAGGTTTTCTTTCTCATAAGAAAAATAGTTGATATGAGATTACAATTGCGTTATCTGTACTTATATACTAGTGATCAATGCTAAGTGATTTTCTAATGATCAATGCTTTTCACCTATGGAATTGCGTACCATGTACTGCCAGAAGAGATAGCCTTGTGCACCTCCACGCCAATAAAACCAATGGATCTTCGGTCCGGTTGTCACTGAGATCTGGGAAGCCAGACATATCTATCACATCATTCATTAATATGAAGTGAGTGAGGAACTTATCATACTGCCTAGATATGAGATCAACAACAGCGCCTGAAACGCAAGTAATGTAGCTGTCAAAGTGAATCCTTTCCAGTGGGATACTAGGTTTAAGAATCCTTAACATGTCATCACTCTTGATATCAAAAGCTATTATATAGACCCGAAGATTAGTGCTGTTGCGTGTCAGGGCTTTCCAATCTTCATCTTCTGGCATGTTCTCCAAGGATTTGTGCATTACTGAAATATTGTGGACCAGAAGAGATAGTCGATGCAAAGGCACATGGTTATTGTCAGCCAAAACTCTCGCCATTTCTCCTGTAAAATCACAGAAATCCAAGGCAAGCGAGCGTAGATTGATAAAGCGCTCCATTTCAATTGCTGTGATAAGAGTGGTATTACCCGGAATGTGGTTATCCAGGAGGCTCAGATGCTCCATGGTGCTGGCAATGGAATTTGAGAGAGATGACAAAGATGTGGGTGTTACAATTTGTAGCATAAACCCACATGACAACCATTTGAGTTGCCTGCTGTTTCCCAAAATTTCTTCAAATAGCTGCTGTATTCTGCAAGAAAAAAAAAACAATTGTTTAAACCTTCCATAATAAATTCAGAGGCAACAAGTAAGCAAGAAAATTATACTGTTCTCCGATGTTGCACTGTCTACACAATTGCTATCTTTAAATCTGAGGTACAATTTGTACTACCATACTATTCTGTGGAAAATCCACTTGTCGGGTTCAGAACTTAAGTTCCTTAGTTGTTCTATTTGAAATAAATATAACATAAAATCAGTGTTTGCTTTCTGAAATTTTGCATTTTATCTTGCTCTATTCCCATTTTTTTTATTCAATATATGCTCAGGTTATCTACCATTCACAGCTAGAATGCCTACAAAATGCAAA